ACTATTTTCTATATTATTACCCTAGTAAGAAGTATTCGTCCTTGTTCTCAACATCAACAGAAATTAAGTTGGACTGAATTTTTGTTTTCTAGATCTTTAGCATCGTAAGATAAGTAATTAGTGCACTGTATATCTTCTTGTACACGTTAACACCTTGTATATGTTATGAGGTCTCATTCATCTTCTTCTGCAATTGACTGATTAATGCACTGTATATCTTTCTTTGTTCTATTTTTTTGTATCGTTTAATGGTTCTTGTTGAACATAGCCTGGCCATATTCGCAAACCACCCGCCATTTTATAGTTTAATGCACTGTATATCAATTAAATGTTATTATAATTAACATAGGATTGCTTGATCCTATGGTCGAGTTGAAAAAGTATAAAAAAAATCCTAATTGTCTTACTCTTGCCTTTGCCATCAATGGAATACCTTGGAGAAGCGATCAATCCTGCTGTTACGAGATCTCATTCTCTTCATTTTGGAGAAAGCAATGAGCCATCTTGCTGTTGATGAGATTCCTGTAATGGCTTTGTTTCACAAGTTCTGAGCGGTGGATTACAGATAAGAGGTAGGATCAAGATCCCTTTAATGGCTTTGTTTTATGAGTCAAGCGTGGATTACTGAGAAGAGGTAGGATCAAGTGAGCAAGTTTATTGAGCAGAATATGATGTCTTGCCTTTTTATTAATATGTTTTGTTCACTGGTTAATTATTTTCTTGGATCGTTATAATTCTCTGCATGTGGTTTCTTTCTTATTTAAAATCATGATTTAGGGTTGCTTCTGAAGCAAAATTGTCTATGAATCTCTTCGGTATTCCACTAGAAACTTCTATATATCAATGGACAGATACAAGCACACCTGAATGCAATCATATGGTTGATGCAAATTGATGTTCTCTTTTTTCTTCAAATTATTGTTACTATATTTAAGGAGTTTTAATTGTCGCATGAAGTTTGGATCAAATGGCTGGAATTTGATGATGCTTCTCCTGTTAAACACTTGTTTTATTTGTGTAAAGCCATTATCGTCCATTGCTCTTTGTTGGAGCGCTTTCAGAGCGTAGAATCTGGACAACCTATTGGAACAAGAGTACATTGTTACTAACTTATGTTGGCATGCATTGGATGCTTTGTTTCTCAAATTGCTTGTAAGATGGTATCAAAAATTTACGAGGGCATGCTGATATATGTAGAATTTCTATGACTTCTTCCTGAAATTTTCTACCAATCCATACAGTTAATAGTAAAATAGGTTGCTTTAACTTCAGTTTCAATTTAATACTATTGCTAAGATATTTTTCTTTTTTATATTTACATTATTCATCTTAGTGTGCATGAAGATCTATTATTATTTTTTTATAATTTGTTTCTTACTATTCATATTTTATATGCATGAAAAATTTGTATCATGCAATGGGACACGCTTCATGATCCAAAAGTTATGAACTATTGAAGATGAAGAGGTAAGATTCTTTTTTGTATTAACACACTAAAAAGGAAGAACAAACACATTGGTAGAGAACAATCCAAGAAAATAATGGGCTGGTCACCGGAATTGGTGTTTCTTCAATGCATCTTATGCCTAACCATTCACTATAAATGGTCATTATTGTTTGTGGACTCTCATACAAGAACTTTTTGTTAAGTTGTAGATCACACACAAGATTTGCTACTTCTTAATTGCTCATGTTTTATCTGTAATCATTTATTAAATATTTTATTTAATAATAATGTAACCGTTTTCATTAAGTTCATCATTCATTATAATCAATTTTTTCATTTATTGTGGTTTAAATATTTTTATTTTTCATTCTAAACAAATTATTATTATTAAATATTTTATTTAATATCATTAAAATTCTTCATTATGATCCAAACATTACATATTTGAATTAATTATTGAATGTTATGAGTTGATGATAATAAATGTTCTTGATGTGAGAACATCTATATAAACGAGAGTTTTGACCCTTGGGCTCAACATCTCTTTTAAGTTTAAAGGATTTCCTACACCATCTAAAGCGAGAGTTTTGAGTCAAGAAGTGTCAAAATTCAAGAAGAAATCGTTGTTGGAATTTTTTATAACAATACTTGGAGGCACACAATTTTGTTTCCGCATTAGTTTTTTCTTGTGTTTCTATTATAATGGTTTAGAAACACATTTTGATATCAAAATTTTTAATGGTTGGTATCAGAGTCAATTGACCTTTGCCTTGATACGAAAGAGTTTTCAATTTTATACCATGAATATGATTTGATTTTGGTTTCTTTTTGAAACTTCTTGATATATTTGATGTTGAAAATATTGATGATATAATATTTTAATATTTGGAGTCGATAAAATGCTCACATTATATATGCATATTTGGTTATATTAATTTATGCTTATGAGTCAATTTTATATGTCCAAAATGTCTAGTGATCCATATAATCTTAATTAATTAAGAAATAATCACAGCATCCTTAATTAATTAAAATTATATAAAAAGTTAAAATAAGGATCACATAAGTAAGTAGACACCATAACTGATTATATTCAATATAATAATTATTATCCCATAGAATTTTTTATTATATTTATATAATTAATTATGATAAAATATTATATTATTTTCATAATTTACCCACGGGAATTATGAATTGGAATATAATTTGATAGTTTTATCATAAAGATTATTTGAATATATTTGAATTAAAATTTTAGCTCACATACAATTTTTATGTCATGAGATTCATATTTTTGGCATGTTTTACATTGGTAAAACATGCAATTTAAACTATTAAACCTTAAATTTTGACATAAACATGTTTAATTTTATACAGTTTCTCAAACTGTTAATTTCTCTGATATTCGATGTGATATTCCCGAACTTAGTGGTGATAACTAAAAGATATTGAAGGAGAGGATTCTTCTCCATTTACGGTGGATGGATATTGATTATGCTATTAGGAAAAACGAACCACCTACAGTCATTAATATCAGTACTCCAACTGAGGTCGCATTATATGAGCAATGTGAGCGATCTAATCGGCTCAGCGTAATGTTTATTAAAACTAAAGGCAACTGCTGGCATATGTGGTTATGTTGACCAACATGAGAAGGTTTGAGACTTGCAACGAGCTATCGATGAACAATTCGTCACTTCGGAAAAGGCACTAGCTAGTACCCTAATAATGAAATTCTTATCCCTTAGACTCACCAACATAAAGGGTGTGCATGAGCATATGATGCAAATGTGAGATATTGAGGCTCAACTTAAGAAGCTTGAGGTTAATATGTTAGAATCTTTCCTGGTGCACTATATTATGAACGTCCTTCCATCTCAATACGGGTCTTTTAAGATTTTATACAACACATATAAGGACAAATAGTCAATCAATGAATTAATGACTATATGTGTTCAAGAAGAAGAGAGGTTAGTGATGGAACTAGGTGAGAGTACATTGGTGGTAATCATTCACGGGAAGAATAAAATCGACAAAAATCAAGCTAATCAGAAAGCTCATTAGTAACGAAAATGTAAAATACCATCCCAAGCTAATATTAAGAAAGAAACAAAGTATTTCTTTTGTAAAAAAAAGGGACACATGAAGAAGGAATGCATAAAAGTCCAACAATGACTTGAAAAGAAAGGTAAACCAATCTTGTTTATGTGTTATTAATCTAATATGATTAATGTTATATTAACACCCGGTGGATTGACTCTAGATCAATAATCCATATTGCAAACCCGGTAGATTAATGTTATATTAAAAAATTTCAAACTTGATTTTTTCTGAGAATTCGCCCAATATCTTGGAAATAATCTCTTTTCTTGTTCTCGAGATATGATCTTACCCAACTCCCCGTTCGATCCTCGATCAACGTTATGTTCTTTGTTTCGTACGTAGAAAGCCATCGTCCCACAATTAAGACAGGATGGGCCATTATTTGAGATTATTCTTTTTTGGACGTCTGCAATGGACGATTCCGTGGAGTCGTTTACAGTTCCGTATCGGTCAGGTTTAGAGGGTCCGGAAAAGATAGGTAAATTAAGAGGCTTTCTGCTGTTGGACGACGCGATTTTGTCTTGAGAACTTTTGCCAAAAAATTATTGCGGAAAATTCACTTTTTTTTGTTTTGGATCTTTTGTTTCGATTTTGGTCGATGACTTCTTTTCCTTCGATATCAGGAACAGATTCCGGTCGACGAGGTTTTCGAGCAGCTGAAATGTACGAGGGAAGGTCTCTCGTCAGCGGAAGGAGCCAACCGGCTTCAAATCTTTGGCCCCAACAAACTCGAAGAGAAAAAGGTCGAAATTTTACTCTCTGCTATTGAGTTCATGTTCCTCGAACTGAGAGCTGAACGAGTTTTTCCTGATCTGCAGGAGAGCAAAATCCTCAAGTTTTTGGGCTTCATGTGGAATCCCCTTTCGTGGGTGATGGAGATGGCCGCTGTCATGGCCATCGCCTTGGCCAACGGTGGTGGGAAGCCCCCCGACTGGCAAGACTTCGTCGGGATCGACGTGTTGCTCGTGATCAACTCCACCATCAGTTTTATCGAAGAGAACAACGCAGGCACTGCTGCGGCCACTCTAATGGCTGGTCTCGCCCCGAAAACGAAGGTATGGACTGGTTTGAAAAGACGACCTTTTTACATATGATGCTAACGTAATGAGCTCTCTCTGGTTTTTCTTCTCGTTCATCCATCCTGTTGAATTGGTGTTTAACTTAATATATGTTAATTCTAACTAGTTTCACTCACACTTATCATTAATGGATTTTTTGAATGGGTATTTGACTCAATATATGTTATCTTTTTTTATTTTTTT